AAACAACGAGAAACCAGAAGACTACCGTGGAAACTTCCAACCCATTCTCCGTGCTACCTGACGAATGTGAGTGTTCTACTGGGAATGCCACAACGAGCACCAAGGAAGCACTGGCAGACGTGAGTGAGACATCCCTAGAAACCCCAACGAAGACCATCGAGAACGTCTTGACGAATTCCACAAGTGGTGTAATGCAACCTGACGAATGTGAGTCGACTACTGGGAGCATCACTACGGACAACGCCAAGGAAGGTAAAAACATTGTTGTTGTTGGGGATAGCCAGATTAGGTACATGGATAGGGCATTCTGCTTGAAGTATAGGAGTAGGAGGCAGAGAGCGTGTTTTCCTGGGGCTGGGATGAAGGATATTGTTAGCCGTCTGGATGACATCATGAGAGGTAATGGGAGCAATCCTATTATCTGTCTCAGTGCTGGAGGCAACGATGTTGGCAGATGTAGGAGTGAGGACCTGATTAGCAGGTATAGGTCAGCAATAGAGATAATTAGGAGGAAGGGTGGGAAACCTGTCATATGTGGCATTTTCCCAAGGAGAGGAGTTGGAAATGAATGGTTGTCCAGAGCAATTGGTGTCAATTGCTGGCTGGACAAATACTGTAAGGAAAATGCGTAACATTCATTGACAACTGGGACCTCTTCTATGGCAGAAATGACATGCATGCCAGGGATGGGGTTCACTTATCTAGGTGTGGGGTGGGAGCACTGGCCAACGCAGTGGAGGGAGCTGTTAGGTCTTTAAACTAGGAATAGTTAGTGGTATGGGTTTTGGCGGGAAAACTGTGAAGTCGCAGGGTAGTAATATGATGTACATGTTGGACCCCCATAGATTACCTCAGAAGTGCAAATGACAATTATGTAAGTGTTTTATGGAGTAGCAGTTTGTACGTGATGTTTGGGGGTAGAAATGGACTAATCTATACAATATTTCTTATGGAACAAATTCGGTCAGTAATGGCACCTGAACATACTTCTGGAGTGAAAAAATATCGTTAACCGGGGGTTCCACTGTACTAGGAACTAGTAATAGCAAAATGAGGTGGGTATTGGAAAGCCAAATGGGCATTAAATGTTGACCCAAAAGGACAGATATAGGTTTAGGTGGAATACAGAAGGAGCGGAAGGGTAAAGAGGAGGGTGCTTAAATATTTATTAACAAATAGTCAGCAGTGCTAGGAATAAGATGGACGATTTGAGACTAGTTGCTAGTGCAGGTAACATTGATGTAATTTGCCATTACTGAGACGTGGTTTAATTCAAAAAGTCGGGACATGCCTGCAGAATGTCACATTCAGGGTTTTAAATTGTTCCAGTAGATAGAAGTGTCGGGAAGGGGGTGGGGTGCATTGTATGTCCGAGATCGCTTGAACTGTTGCATACAAACGGGTATTAAGTCTGAAGTAACACATCAGAGTCTGTTTGGATAGAATTTTCAGAGGGGCATGAAAAATTAATTTTAGGTGTGATATACCGTCCCCCAAATTTAGATAGGGACAGGAGAGACTACTATGGGAGGAAATTGTTAGGGCCACAAGGCACGATAATGTAGTAATTCTAGAAGACTTTAACTTTAGTCATATTGATTGGAGTTTCTTGACTGGGAATTTAGAATCATACGACTTCTTAGAAGTAGTTCAGGATTGTTTTTTGAAGCAGTTTGTGACAGAACCTACAAGGGGTAATAACCTGCTTGACTTAGTTCTGGCAAACAATGAATCCCTTGTTAATAATTTAGAAGTTTCAGAGGAACTGGGTGCTAGTGACACAAATCAATTACATTTAGCATTGAATGGAAGTATGATAGTAGGGATAACTCAGTAACAGTCCCAGATTTTCGCTTAGCAGATTACGATGGGCTTAGAGAACACTTATCATCTGTTGACTGGGGTAACGAAGAGAGCTATCAATATGACAGTTTTCTGAACACTATACATGCTGCTCAAAGAACGTTTATCCCTTATAAAGAAATTAGATCAAATAGAAATGACCCAAAATGGATGAATAATAGGCTGAAATATCTACTAGGGCATGAGAAAGGAATTTATAGGCGTATCAAAAGAGGCGAGGGTCATCTTATGAATCAGTATATTGACATTAAGAGGGACATTAAAAAGGGGAATAAGAAAAGCTAAAAGGGACTATGAAATTAAAGTTGCTAGGGATTCTAAAACTAACCCAAAAAGTTTTTTCCAGGTATATAGAGCAAAAGTTAGAGATAAGATAGGTCCCCTTAAAAATAACTATGGGCATCTTACTGACAAAGAGAATGAAATGGCTCGATTTTAAATAATTATTTTCTCTCGGTTTTTACACAGGAAGACACTAATAATACAGTGGACCCCCAGTTAATGATTTTTTTTCATTCCAGAAGTATGTTCAGGTGCCAGTACTGACTGAATTTGTTCCCATAAGGAATATTGTGAAGTAGATTAGTCCATTTCAGACCCCCAAACATACACGTACAAACGCACTTACATAAATACACTTACATAATTGGTCGCATTGGGAGGTGATCGTTATGCAGGGGTCCACTGTATTCCAGTAATTAATTTTTATAGTGGGCCAGAAGAAGATAAATTATGTAACATCACAGTCACTAGTGAAATGGTTGTGAAGCAGATAGACCGACTGAAGCAAAATAAGTCACCGGGACCTGATGAGGTTTTTTCAAGGGTTCTTAAGGAATGCAAAATGGAAGTCTGTGAACCATTAACTAATATTTTTAATTTATCTCTTCAAACAGGTGTAGTGTCTGATATGTGGAAGATGGCTAATGTAATTCCTATTTTTAAAACAGGGGACAAGTCGTTACCGTCAAATTACCGCCCAATAAGCCTGACCTCAATTGTAGGCAAATTACTAGAGTCAATTATAGCTGAGATTATAAGAAGCCATCTCGATAAGCATAGCTTGATTAATGATACTCAGCATGGATTCACAAGAGGCCGGTCTTGTCTAACTAATTTATTAACTTTCTTCAGTAAAGCTTTTGAGGCTGTTGACCACGATAGAGAATTTGATATTATTTACTTAGATTTTAGTAAGGCATTTGATAGAGTTCCGCACCAAAGACTGTTGAAGAAAGTAGCAGCTCATGGGATTGGGGGAAGGGTGCTCTCGTGGATCGAATCATGGCTCACAGACAGGAAGCAGAGTGTCCATAAATGGGGTTAAATCCGAGTGGGGTTCAGTAACAAGTGGCGTTCCACAGGGATCAGTCTTGGGCCCGTTGTTGTTTATAATATATATCAATGATCTTGATGTAGGAATTACTAGTGATATGAGCAAATTCGCCGATGACACGAAGATAGGTAGGATAATTGATTCAAACGTAGATGTTAGGGAACATCAGGAGGATTTAGACAAACTCTACTCTTGGTCAGAAAAGTGGCAGATGCAGTTCAATGTAGATAAATGCAAGGTTCTGAAGCTCGGGAGTGTCCATAACCCTAGCACTTATAAGTTAAATAATGTAGAACTTAGCCATACAGATTGCGAAGAGGACTTGGGGGTTATGGTAAGCAGCAACCTTAAACCAAGACAGCAATGCCTAAGCATGCGTAATAAGGCAAATAGATTACTGGGATTTATATCAAGAAGTGTAAGCAACAGAAGTCCAGAGGTCATACTGCAGCTTTATACATCATTAGTAAGGCCTCACCTAGATTATGCAGCTCAATTCTGGTCTCCATATTACAGAATGGACATAAATTCGTTAGAAAACATTCAGTGTAGGATGGCTAAATTAATACATAGCATTAGAAATCTTCCTTATGAAGAAAGATTGAAGACTCTTAAGTTACATTCACTTGTTAGACGAAGAATGAGGGGAGACCTGATCGAAGTGTATAAGTGGAAGATAGGTATTAATAAAGGGGATATTAACAAGGTCTTGAGGATATCTCTCCAAGGGAGAACCCTCCAGTAATGGATTTAAATTAGATAAGTTTAGATTTAGAAAGGACATAGGAAAGTATTGGTTTGGAAATAGGGTAGTTGATGAGTGGAACAATCTACCTAGTTGGGTTATTGAGGCTAGGACTTTGGGTAGTTTCAAATTTAGGTTGGATAAGTACATGAGTGGGAGGGGTTGGATTTGAGTGGGACTTGCACATCAGAGCTTATTTCTTGGGTAGCATTGAAAATTGCGTTGGTCAAATGTTTGTTAGTGGGATGAATTGTAAAGGACTTGCCTAGTATGGGTCAACAGGCCTGCTGCAGTGTTCCTCCTTTCTTATATTCTTATGTTCTTATAAACAGGAGACAGATAAATATTGCATGTGAGCATTTATATAAGGAAATTAATGAATGAATTACAAAGAAATTGTTGTATAAACCATGGAACAGACAGGGTTTTAACCCATGGTGAGCAAGTCATAAAACTCAAGGCCAGTGCTAACTTCTCTACGGTGTGTCGAAACAGACCTAGTTGGATGAATCTTATTGTAGCCAGCTGGTCCAGTGGCTTACACACTGGCTTTGGAGTTTTACCACTTACTGACCATGGGTTCATACTTCACCCTTTTCATGGTTTGTTTGCAATCGTGTTGTTATCATTTTGTGAGCTGTAATGGGTGTATAATCTTGTTTAGTTGTATTGCTTCTGTAGGTCAGTAATCTTGCAGTCTGGCAACTTCTCTACCCAATGCTTGTAAAACTGGATTCTTTCAACCTTGCTGTACATTTGTGAATAAAAATACTATTATTAGCAACATGATTATCTTTGCAGCAAAAAAATTACCATTATGTTTAAGCTCTTGCAAATAAGTTAAATTTAAATTGTGCTTATGTGTGATTATTTTCTTTTGCAGGTGATACTGTGAGCACAAGAATGACACTTATCAACTTGTAATAATATAAAAGTTAATGTGCCAGAAATACTGCAGCTATACAGTTCCAGCAGTGTGACACATAATGTACACTACAGTGTCAGAATTACTACCTGCTGAGTCTTAATACAAGTATTTTAAAGCCCACCTTGTTACATGCAAACCTTCATCAACCTCTATATGTTCCTTCACTACACATCCTCTAAATATTTTTGTGTAAAAATGTTCACACTTCACACTAGTTAATTTATTTCACTGTAATAATGCATGTGTGTTAACCATATGTGTAGCATTAAAGGTCACCAAATTTGTAAGAAAATGTGTATATTAAAATAATGTACTGATTGATTTATTTAAAATTGTTATCATTAAACAGCCTTAATGAAACTCGTTTTGGAAACTGGTACTAGCAGTGTACTAGTAATATAAAGTGCTATCAGTATGCTAGTAATATAATGTACTAGCAGTATACTAGTACCTTTCACTTGTACTCTCCAAAACATTTGTTATTCTCATTAAAATTTGCTGAAGTATCTCACCCACTCTCTCATTTGCTCTCCTTTTACATTATTTCACCAGTTGTTACAACTGGACAAAGTACCAACAGTGTACTAGTAACCTCTCACTTGTATTACTAGTTACATCCAGACAAAGTACCAACAGTGTTCTAGTAACATCTCACTTGTATTACTAGTTACATTCAGACAAAGTACCAACAGTGTACTAGTAACCTCTCTGTATACTACCGACTGTTACAAAATAAACACTAGGAAGGGAGTCAACACAGACTGAACACACTAGACAAGAACTTCATTACTTTCATACCAACAAACAAGTGTAACACAATGTTCATAATATGAAATTTAATGAAGCATCTAGATCTTAAAAAAAAGTTACAGATTATTGCAGCCTTTTTTAATGTGCCTTAATAAAGTTATTACATTGACATTTAGAATTTAAATTATAGTGTATAAATATGAAAATGAGTAGACTTTGAGTTAAGGAGTAGGCTAATAGCATGCTTATCAGCAGTCTTAATAGCTGTGGTTACTGCATTATCATCCTGTATTACTGTATTACCTCTAAGTTAGCTCTTGGAATTATCTGTTTATAAATACAGCATCAGATCTAGGCTCATGCTGCACTCTCCAGTATTAAATCTAGCATTTTTTAATATCTAGGTGGCATAGCACCTAGATATTCCACTTTTCTATCACTCTTTGCTAGGATATCTTTCTAGTATTTGTTCAGCTTTTTTTTTTTTTTTTAGGTTATAGCTGTGGCATCTGTTTCTTAGTTTTAATGGTGATGAGAAAATTTTCCTAATCAATTATTTTGTATCTTTTTACAATCTTATTGTGATTATCATGACTTCTCTCTCCCTGCTATCAGCCAAAGATAGCATGTCTAATTCTTTCAGTTTTTCTTAACATACTGTTATTAAACTCTCAATCATTTTGTAACTCGTTCTTAAACATTTTTCTTTTTTGTTTACATTCGTTTTTTTAAGTTTGCAGCATAGCACTGATCCATGTTATATATTTTTAATGCAATATTTCTTCAAGAGAAACTTTTCACTTTTTTAAGCATCAAGCATAATGAGTTATTTTCCATTAGCCAGCCTGTTTTTGCTTTGAAATCTCAGGAAATTTTTTTGAAAGAGATTATTAGGCTTGTTTTATGTGGTTTCATTGCCTCTTTCTTATTTACATCAAGTATTAGAATCTCTACCTTCTCAGATATCGGCTGCTTGGGGTTTAAATCTACGTCAAAGTTAGTCTTCCTCTTATTAGATGGGTTTGTCTTCGTCCTTAATTTTATGTATTGTCTTGTTAATACTTTATATGATTTTACAAACTGATTAAAAAATTTGGTGCATTCTTCTCATTTTGGTGTTTCTTGATATTCGTTCCATATCCAATATGCAGCGCTAAATCAGACTTATGGTATTTTTAGTATATTTATAATATTGTAAAATAAACTTGAGTGTTTGCACACAAAAGAAACCACTGTATAACATAGAGTATCAAAAAGCTTATTAGAAAAATGACAGCTAAACCCCCACTTCAGAGTTTACCCTAGAGATAAAGACTATCGGTGTTCAGTGTGGCTAGCAGCCATTTCAAAAATATTAGGTTAAAACACCCACTTGAGAGTACATTCTGGAGAAAATATCAATGTTCAGAGTGAAGTCGTTTTCAAAAAATTCTTATCGAATAAGACATTGGGATTTCATACATTTTCACCACATTCATTTTCAGGGTGTCTAAAGGCCTTATAAGAAAAAATGAATCTAAAACTTTTCAGGATTCATTCAGGAGAAACATCTTATCAGTGTTCAGTGTGTCTAAAAACCTTTACAGAAATATCTATTCTAAATAAACACCAGAAAACTCATACAGGAAATAACACATGTCAGTGTTCAGTGTGTTTTAAATCCTTTTCAAAAAAGTCTAAATTGCAATCCCACTTGAGAGTTCATACAGGAGAGAAACCTTATCAATGTTCAGAATGTTTAAAGGCTTTTACAGAAAAAGCTAATCTCATTAAACACCAGAGAGTTCATACAGGAGAGAAACCATATCACTGTTCACAGTGTCTAAAGACCTTTACAGAAAAATCTAATCTAATTAAACACCAGAGAGTTCATACAGGAGAGAAACCATATCATTGTTCAGAGTGTGTAAAGACTTTTTCACAAAAATCAGGTTTATTGAAACACCAGAGAGTTCATGCAGGGAAGAAACCTCACCAGTGTTCAGAATGTCTAAAGGCCTTTACAGAAAAAGCTAGTCTAATTAAACACCAGAGAGTTCATACAGGAGAAAAACCATATCATTGTTCAGAGTGTCTAAAGACCTTTACAGAAAACACAAGTTTAATAAATCACCTCAGAGTTCATACAGGAGAGAAACCATATCATTGTTCAGAGTGTTTAAAAGCCTTTACAGATAAAACAGGTCTGAGAAACCACATCAGAGTTCATACAGAGGAGAAACCTTATCAGTGTTCAGAGTGTTTAAAGGCCTTTAAAGAAAAAGCTAGTCTAAGGAAACATCAAAAAATTCATTCTGGAAAGAAACCATATCAGTGTTCACTGTGTCTGAAGTCCTTTTCAGACAATGCTAAATTAAAATCCCACTTGAGAGTTCATACAGGAGAGAAACCTTATCAGTGTTCAGAGTGTCTAAAGGCCTTCACAGAAAAAATAAGTCTAATAAACCATCTCAGAGTTCATACAGGAGAGAAGCCATATCAGTGTTCAGAGTGTCTAAAGGCCTTTACACAAAAATCAAGTTTACTGAAACACCAGAGAGTTCATACAGGGGAGAAACCTTATCAGTGTTCAGAGTGTTTAAAGGCTTTTACAGAAAAATCTAGTCTAAAGAAACATCAAAAGATTCATACTGGAAAGAAACCATGTCAGTGTTAAGTGCGTCTAAAGTCCTTTTCAGATAACTCTAAATTAAAATCTCATTTGGGAGGTCATACAAAAGAAAAACCTTATTAGTGTTCAGAATATCTAAAGGCCTTTCCACAAAAATTGAGTCTTCTAAGGCACCTGAGAGTTCATACAGGAGAGAAACTTCATGTTGGTAATGAGTGTGTCTAAAATTCTTTTCAGGACAAAACTTCATTTAACATCCGCTTGAGAGTTCATATGCTCCACCTTCTTTATATTACTTCTGCTTTGTAAAAACTCTCAGGCTAGCACTGCATTCTTTAATCTATCTCATACCTCTTAGGCCACCTACTCATTATCTATACTCTCACTAGCCCATCTCTCTCCCAACAGTTCCTTATATCTTATCCTAATTTCCTCTTCCTTTAATTTATAAACTTTCGCTTCTCTCTTACCGATGACACTCTTCTTGTTCCCCCATCTACTTATTCTCGTTGTAGCTATGACTAAATAATCTGATATATTTGTTGCCCCTCTGTAAACATGTGCATCTAGAAGTCTATCCATAACTCTTTTATCTATTAATACAGAGTCTAACAAACTGCTGTCATGATGCCTTATATCATATCTTGTGTATTTATTCTCATTTTCTTAAAATATGCATTACCAAACCTCTTACAATTAATGCCCCTATTATCATTTCCCCCCAGCACCCCAGACTTACTTGCTTCACCCTCTGCAACAGTTTCTCCCTCTAGCATTTAGGTCCCCCACAACAATTACTTTTTCACTTGATTGAAAACTCTCTAAACACTTGCTTAGTATCTCCTAAAATCCTCTCCTTTCCAGGTGCATAAACATGTAGTATAACCCAGTTTTCACATACTACCCTTATTTTAATCCATTTAATCCTTGAATTTATACATTTATATTCCCTTTTCTCCTGTCATAACTGATTATTCAGCATTAACACTACTACTTCCTTAGTACTAACTCTCTCATACACCTGACCTAATCCCTTTTATTTCTCCCCATTTAAACTCTCTTGCCTCCTTCAGCCATGTTTTGCTTAGGATATTGAACTTCATTTCATTCATAGCATTCATAACCATCTTTTTCTTATCATCTGTACTACATTCATGCACATTCAGATAATCCCCTTCTTTGAGGAAGGGGGGCTCCTTGATGTGGTGAAGAGGCTCTTGATCTTAGGTCTTCTTCCTCCAATCAAACCTAATTACCCCACCCCCCAGTCTCCTCCTTCCCTACCCCATCCCTCCTTTTCCCCATCCCTCCTCCTTTCCCCAGCCAAAGGAGGTATGCTTTGTGGTGGGTTTCTGACCACCATCTCTTTTGTCCACCGAGGTAGCTCAGTGGATCTAAGATTGCTATCCTGGACTGCCGGTTTACTGGCATGAAAGGTAGGGTATGGCATGGGTTCCATGCGACATCTGCACTACTGGCTGCACTGAAGTCCTCTGGGGAAAGGGTGGGATTTGTGGCCTTTTCATTCCTCCTAGGGGCTACCCCTCCACATTTGTCCCTCCCACTTTTTTTTTTAGCTTTATTGCTTTTTTACTTTTGGGGGGAAAACAAAAGACAAGTGACCTAACCATGGACTCCCATGTCCATGATACTTCTCCTCTCGGACCCCTTTCTGATGTGGCACCCTCTTTCAACTTTGCCTCTTTATCGGACCTTTCTAACATTTTGTAATCTACCCCAATATTCTCTTTCTCTAACTATAACTTC